TTCTGTGTTCGGATGGAACTGTAATAGAAAAATTAATTCAGGCACTTCTAATCCTAAAGACTGTGTTATTCTTTGTGTGAATTGTTGTAAAACAAGTAAGTTACAAATTTTATTTTCAACCTCATAGCAGTGTCTGTATAATTAATCAAATATCTCTTCAAGTCATCTATTGTGTAATAGAAGTCAAGGGGAAGGGAGAAAAATGCAACCTATTACTAGCTGCTCAAACGTAATCTGGTGTCTGATTATAATTGAATTATTTAAGAGTGTTTTCAAAAGTACCAATGTTCAAATGTATTCCAATGCTTTTTAATTGTCAAATGTATTCCATTGCTTTTAATTTTTAATTGTCAGAGTTGGAAAAATTATTCACTTTTGCTTTCCCCAGTCACAAAATTGTTATCAATTGGTCTTATTCTGAAATTTTAGCACATAACTTTATCACTGTGTTGGGTTATTTAAATAAATTGTAGTATTGTTTGTTACAATAAAAATATAGAATTAAAATTTTATGGTGTCAAAAGATTTTAACTTTTCATAGTTATGTGCAATAAAATTAAGTAACAAATTTTAAGATATTTAAACTATTTTTAGGGAAAGATATTAAGATAAATAATTATATTTTTGAATTTATATTGAAAGTTCTGAACTGTTGATAAAATTTTATGTGAATGAAATAATTTTGGAAAAATGGTACAGAATATGATAAACAAATAGCATTGTTTAGTATTACTGTACCAAATATTAAATGTTCTGGTATAGAATAGGGTAATAATATATAAAATTATGGGTAACTCAAAAAACTGAATAATTATAATTGGTATAAAATTATGTTAACTAACTTTAAAATTTATGGTTGGTAATATGTTCAGATAAACACTAAAGGCTCTCACTTTTATTTTTATCATTTATAATTATTTTTTTTAATATAATGGAGTGTGGTTAAATTTTGTTATGGTATGTTATAGTGCAGTTCAAAAAGGCCAGTTGCCTTTAAACAAGGAGCAAAGGCCTTTATAAGTAACTGCTGTGAGCGACCCTTTATCCATTGTTGAAAATTCACACATTAATTTGTTAATGTGGATTTGCCTGAGAAATGGAAATGTTTGTATAAAGAGAAAGCTATATGGTCTTCCATTGTGTACCAAATAAGTAAATTAGAAATGTCAATAATAATAGAAAGCATAATTTTAGTATTATTATTTCAATTGGCGTTTCAAATGAAAAATTAATTAAATTATTTTGAAATTTCCTGTGGTTTTGTAGTGTAATTAATATATGTATTTAAAACTTTTATATTTGATAAGTTGAAAACCCTAAACAGATATAATTATGAAATATATTTATTTCGTATTTTCTATTCACAAAATTATATGGTCTATGTTATTGTTGAAAAGGCAATCTAGAATTTTATTTTCAAGATTTAAATACCTAACTTGAGCATATAATTATTCATCTTAAATTTTAATTTTGTATATTTTTTACTTCAGTTAACTCATTTGAAGATTTTTTATGGCCATAAGTTGTAAATGCAAACTTTGCTAATCATACAATACTAAAAGCCAGTTACCTTTTTTAAGGAACAGAGATTTTTAGGTTCTGTTATAGTTAAGCATCCCTCAGCCATCATCGAGTTTTAACGCTGATTCACTTTGTGTGGACCTGCCCATTTTAACCCTTTAACGCGCGCGATATTATTTTTATAATTTTTTTAACTAAAAACTCTAGAAATTGAATATTATGATCCTAGAGACAAATGATATATGAATTAAAAAATCTACTCTTGCCCATTGTTCTGTGGGTGGTGGTCGCACTGTGAAACCACCGCACATCTAGAACTTTGAAACTTACTGATGTAGTAGGGAAAAAAGACTTACCATTTTCCGCACGCGTTTCCAATAAATGACGAAATTTACGGATTTAAAAAAAATGTATGTAAGAATCGCATTATATATAATTTTTTACATTATTTTACAAAGTAAATCGTCAGAAAAAATTAAAAAATAAACATTTATGTAATTTTTCTATAGCAGTGAAAATATGAGTACCTACATAATAAGGACATTTGGATAAATGGATTAAAAACTCAATAAAATAAGGATTAAAGAAAACTTTTTTTGTGTGTGTGTGTACACTGTTCAAAGCATGTTTTGTCTCTTTGGTACATCATAGACCCACATTGCACGTTTCACACATACATCTTGTTCTATGAGGTTTCTTCCTTGTGCTACAAAAATGGCCTGGATTTAAATTTCACTGGTATATGCGTTATTTAGTTTCTTTTCATCTGGCACATGAAATTTGTGGTTTTTTTATGTTAATGGGGGGGGGCTTGGTCTTTTTAGTTTTGTACGGATCATTCGTTTCCCATTCATACTTATTTTATTCGTATTTCGTCCCAAAATATTCAGAAAATATTTTTAATTTAAATAATTCTTCTACGCAATTTCTATTTTTAATTATAGCAAAGTATATTTCATTAAATTTAAACCACAGGAAATAATTTATAAAATCACAATACAAGCTTGGGGAACAAATGTGTTGATGTCATGGAAAAGTATTTGGAAAAGAAAGACCTTTTTACTAGGCAGGTGCATCTTTGTTTAGTAATAAAATAACTCTGTGGTTTCAAAGCCCTTTATCTATATCCGGGTAAAAATAAATATTCCTATTTGAAAAGCAAGCAAACGCCATTGAGAAGCAAACCCCAGTGGTTTCAAGGCGCGACCAACGAGCCTCCAGAGGATTGTAAGCATTGTGACACAATACTCTAGTGGTGCAGTGGGGTCATGCACTGAAACCACATAGCAAATGCCATACATATAGAGGGTTTTTTTACATATGCAGTTTAATTACTGTAATTTTTTATTGTTTATGATAGAAATCATGATGTGCGATGACTAACTTTTGAAATTTAAAGTTGTTTATATTAATAAAAGGAAGTTATTTTGTCTCGTCAAAAACGAATTTTAAAAGGCATCCGATCTGAAGTATTAATATCTAAAACATATATGATTCTACAGTCATTTTGTGTTATTTAGATGTAAAAGATCAGTAACCAATTCATTTTCACGCAAAAATTTCGGAAAAAAGAGGAGAAAAAAAAATTCAGAAAATGGTGGTTTCAGGGCGCGACCACTGCGCGTCAAAGGGAGTTGTTCTATTATTATATTTTTTAGTTTTTTTTTACTAATTTATGAAGTACATTTTACACTGCTTTACAGTTAAGAAAATATGGATTGTTTTATAAATGTTAAATAATTAAATTTTAACACCAATTTCAAATATATCAAAGAAAATTTAGTTTTTACATTGAGGACAACAATTTTACTGAAGACTTTCAGCCTAGGAACTGCAGAACATTATGATGTTTAAGAGAAGATTTTTCAGAACTGTGAGCTTTTCTAGTTATATTTCTGGAAAAATTTGTGACATTGCAGTATTTTCACAGAAAAATGAACCTGCAGACTTTCAAAATTTCAGTCGAGTTTTCCAAGCACATTTACTGTTAAGAATTATATCTACCAGATTTTGTTATTTTAAAAAATTTAGATCAAAATTTTATTTCCCTTGTTTCGCTAATGCTTTCTTCTAAAATTTTTAGAACTGAGACCTTTCTCTCCTAAACAAAAACCTTTGTTTTGGTGAGCTTCCATATTGGATAATTACACACTTATCTTCTGTCTCTCTTCCTATAAAGATGCTATTTTGCTGTGCTCCCTTCCTATCGCTACGATATAAAAAATATAAATATTCTGTAAATAGGCATGATTAAACTGCCAGGTATATTATGGATGCAAATGTCAATTTTAATAAAAATGAATATTTAATCTTACTCAGGTGCCAGATTTTCTAGTTATTATGGATTCAACATTTTAGCATTCTGTGCAATCAGAATTCTTTCTGTTCAACATGGATCTAAGTGCTGTGCCATCAGTATTTCTGCATTTCTACATCTTGGTGTTCCTCCATCAGTATTTCTAATTTTTTTTTGTTACATATATGTAGGAATATGTAAATGAATTAAATAAGTAGATGCTTGGAACAATGTCAGTTGATTCATTTAGAAGGGCTGCAATCATGGGTGATTGGAACACATATTCTTGATAAAACATTTCTGATGGAGACTCAGCTAACTTGGCACAAAGCACTTCTTGTTCTTTGGCAAATTTTACGTGTGTAAGTTCTTGCAGTATGCGAGTAAAGCAATGACAGCAATCTGGCTAGAGAAGGAAGCGGAGAATGAATATGATGTGTCTGAGATGAAAGACTGGTTCACAATGATTTAGTTTTAGGTCAGATTTATCTCCAGTGGCTAATTTTAAATTTTGATTCTGGATTTGAAACTGTTATTGGCTTAGGTGTTAAGCAAGAATTACATAGATTAATTTTGAATTAGAGTTTTTATCTCGCATATAAAAATTACTGTAGTAATTTTGAAGGCTGTTGGCATGTTAGTTGCAGTTGGTAGTGGTCAATTTTATATTTTTATCCTTGAGTTGCATATTCTTTAATAACATAATGGCATGGGCACAGTGTGTGTAACCATTTTTGGTCACACTTGTGTCTTTTCAACTTATTTGTAACAATTCCAATTGAGTGAAGAAAGTGCAGCAGCTGAGAGCAAGCAAGTTGATAGCAGAGAAGTCAGGAAGAGAGCTTGTGCAAGAACATTTGGTGCAAGATGATTTAGTTTTAAGTTTTGACTCTCAAAATTATTACTGGTGGAAGTGTTATGCAAATATCTGCATCATTAGCTGTAAGAATTCCTTAATTGTATATATGACATGGATTAATTTTGAAATGATACAATTTAGAAAGGTAAGCAGCTGCTCTTTTGGAAAGCTGAAATAACCTAATTAAAATACAGATTTAATGAACCACTGCAAATTAAAGCTAGGATTTTGATTAATTTATTTATTTTGATCTTATATATATATATTTGGGATGTATATTCGTTTGGTGTCAGCAGATGTTTAATATTCTGTTTTATTTTTCAGATTGCTGGGAAAGTGATGAAAACAAAACCAGCTATGGCAGCTATTGGCCGTTTGCATAACACTCCTCATTTAGATGAATTGATTTAAATTACTGTAGTTGTGGGAAAGTGTAAAGGATGATGAATTAAATATATATATATATGTGTGTGTGTGTGTATGTGTGTAGAAATAAAAGATCCAAATTACGTTTTTGACTCAAATTGATCTGAAAATTTATTGAAATGGATGTAAGCTTAATAATATACTGCATATGATGTGTATACTGCAGTTATCACAGAAGAAATTATTTTGCAACCTATTTTAGTATTATTTTATCGTAGCCTGTGAAATACCCTTTTTTTGTTGGGAATAAAGAATCAGTATTGTTGAGGGTGATGCAGTTTAAATGATAATTGGCTTATCTTTGGAATATGGTAACAGGTAGTTTGGCGACATTTTGGTAAGGCGATAAAGCTTACTAGCAAGGACTTAAGCAGTGCACATGGTCAACAGTGTGCGCAATGCCATTTTTGTGCAATTCTGGGATTTTTTTTAAGTGAAAATAGGTCGACGTGTACATGGATGACACCGTGTATGTGCGATTCTTAAAAACACGGCAAGCAGTGGGCGATTCTGCACTTTCTCACAATTTCGCACCTAATCTTTGTCATGATTAAGCACTTTTGTTCCATAAAAGTTCTAGCATAAGCTTAATTTGGCAAGCAGATTGTTGAAAAAAAATGTTGAGTTAAAAAAAAAATGCCTTTACTTTGTGAAAACAAAATGGTGTCCAAAAAAAAAAAAAACAAAACTAGCAGGTTCCTGTAGCAGGGTTGGTCGCCAAAAAATCCCCAAGTTACCATAATCCGAAGATTAACCTGATAATTTTTTGTCTTAGAAATCTTGTGGAGTTCTAAATATGGTTTAATCTGCTTCAGAATTCTTATCAAATTTCTTGATAATGCAGAGGTGATATTACGTGATAACTCTTTGAATTCAGGGAGGGAACATGGAAATGATGTAAATTTAAAAGAATGGTCTTCATGGAATCTACACCTGTAAGAAAGTGCAATCCATTAGGAGAAGTCATCTTCCCTACGAAGGCTCTTGGTTTGTTTTCTCCCTGTTGATAACACAGTTTCTTGTACCAGCGCCATTCTATCAATGAAGTCTTATTCTATTCGTTCCCTACTATATGCATCCTATTCATTTTTATTCTTCGCTACATTCCCCATCCTGTTAAGTACTACATTGTTGTAGTATGAATTTCATGTCTCCCATTTGAATTTTTGCGGAATAACGGCCAAAATCAGAAATCTTGCTGAAGTTTTTGCATGCTGGTCAAAGATAGTGATGCTGTGGGTGGCATGCATAGACTCCAGCTACTACGGATTCTCCATAGTTTCTACGGAAATTCATGATAAATTACAAGCTACGAAAAGTATGAGAAAAACTACGGATTTTACAGAAACAGCGTAGGAGAACCAGTACGCAAAACGGAACCAACTAATTCATCCAATGATTGGCTGAATACTCGTGTCATCATATATCACGTGTTGAGTGCATTGCTGGTTTTGAAGAATATATAATCTTAGGTCAGTAACTCCAACCGTTATTGACTAGTCCCACCCCGCAACATATGGTCTCCCAGGTTTGTTGCTGCTGCGTGTTTAGCTTGCCTTCGGCTCCATTGTTTATATTATGGCGAGAGCTTAGCATCTGTCTTGTGAACTAGGATTCAGGTGGAAATTTTTTTCAATAATGCTACTTCGAACGAAAAAGCCAAAATTATCACAGCAAAAATTTAAAGATTCATATTCTTCAGAATTTCAGTGCATTAAAGCATCCGTAATTTCTGTGAATCACGCACACTGCAGTGTTCAAAAGAACAAAGACTTCTCAGTTGCGCATGCTGGAAAAGATGACTGTAAACGGCATGTTTTTTTCTCAAAAACATATAGAACTTTGCACTGTAAAATCTAAAGAAATAACGAATTTCTTAATAAAAGATGATGAAACAGGTCCTATCGAAGCCGAATGCTATTTTGTTCGATTTTTAATTGAACACAATCTACTGCTTTCTGTTTCGGATCATTACAAAGAGCTTTTCAAAGCAATGTTTCCGGATTCTGCCATAGCAAAAAAAAAATAAGCTGCCGTCATACCAAAACTGCCGCCATTGTGAAAATGCTTGCAGAAAGTACTGTTGCCGATATTATAAAATCAGTGTGCAATAACATCGTTTTCTCTAAGGACTGATGGAAGTAACGATAACAAACTGTATCCATTGATTATAACATAATACAGTAAAGGAAAGGAAGTGATAATTACGTCATTGATTTCTATTTTAGAGTGCACGAATAATACCGGAGAAGGTATTTTTAATTGTATAAATGAAAACTTTAAAAGCAAAGGTTTAGAATGGAAAAATTGCTTATCATTTTCTTCAGATAATGCTAGTGATATGATTGGAAAGTTTAAAGGTATAGCATCGTTTATCAAAATGCATCAACCAAGTATAATCATCCGAGGTTGTCCATACTACCTCTTGCATATAGCTGCAAAAAAGGCTACTGAAAAATTAATTGGCTCCGAAATCGAAATGTTGTTAGTAGATGTATATTTTTATTTGGAGAAGAGTTCGAAACGAAAGCATAACTTCAAAGTTGCTCAACAAATTTTGGGACAGAACGCAAAATCTCATAACATTTTGAAATATTGCAGTACGAGATGGTTGTCTCTTTTAGAATCTATAACAAGGATTTTGGAGCAGTGGGATGTGATAAATTTTTGTGGAGATCAACCAGATAACAGTGAGAATGAAGGAAAGAGATTGCAGAACGTTAAAAAAATGTTACTATCGCCTACCACCAAAGTGTACTTGTTATTTTTGAAAAATACTTTGTTTATAACAGCTCCTTATATACATAAATTCAGAAGAGAATTTATTTGATTCGTAAAACCATCAGTAATTTCTAAAGAAAATGAAGATTTAGTGATTGATGCAGAACAAGACTATATTTAAAAAATGCCAAGTTGAATGAAAGTGAAGTAAAATCGTTTTTCAATTCTGTGCAAGCTTTTTCTGTAACTGCATGTTCATATATAATAGATAAATTTCCACTAAATGATCCATTTCTAAAACATGCTGTTGCTGACATCAACTTGAGGACTGAAATTTCATTTTCATCTGTTCTTTACTTGATGAATACTTTTCCATCCATTATTGATGAAAAGTATCTTAATCAAGTGGAAATTGAATTTTCCATGTATCAAGTAGATGATTTGAAAGAATTGTAGATTTGCGTATTGATATAGCATGAGGAGAAATTGCCAAATTAAAAAATATGAATGGGTGTATTAAATACAAAGTATTGCCTACTGTAATGCTTGCTCTCTTAATAACACCTCATTCAAATGCAGTTTATAGCGGAAAGAATTTTTTCTATTGTATTATTAAAAAAAATCGGACGGAATTTCGACCAAATTTAGGTCCTAAAACTCTCGAAGCGGTTTTGATTGAAAAAATAAATATGCAGGCAAATAAAGAACTGTGTTATAAAAAAAAAAAACATTCTCAAAATCAGAACTTACGCATGCTACATATAAATATTTGCATTCGTAAATTATAAGTATTTTTTTAATACTAATATATATTACTCTTGGTTATTTAACTTTTATTTCCCTGCGGAAATCAAATCCAGAGTAAAGATATATACATTCTGATTTTTTTCTGGATAGTAGTGTGGGAATCGTGCCTCAATGAAGCACCGAATGTCGCTACCTATCTCTATTTGGTAGGAACTCTCCAGGTTCCAGGATCTTCAGTTGGTTCGAGAAGTCCGACAGAACGCTCGCGAAGGAGCTACAACTAGACGCTTACTGGTCGCGCGTAGGCGATCGGACTTGGAACTTATCTAAAGTGACCGCACGTAGGTGGTCAGCTGTCACTTTTACATCTCCATACTGGAACAAGTTTTGTGATTACTCTCCTAAACATATTTAATCCATTTGTACATACTCATTCCGTTTATCTTTTCTATAAAAAAGGAATAAAACCTGATGCTTTGAATCGTGAGTGTGATCTCTGTTTGATAAGACGTCACCCTCACAACTATTGGGGCTCCAAGCCGGCGAACTTCAAAAAAGGTACTGTGAAAACTTTTCCTTCTTTAAGATAGTGATACTTGTGTTTCGTTTTAAAATGAGTTTCTTAAATAATTCAAACAAGAGTGATTTAAAATTAATTGCCGAAAGAATTGGAGAGAATGTTCCCAGAAAATGCTAAAAAAGCTGACATTAGAAAATTCTGATGTCTTCAAAACGAATATTGAATTTGTTCGTGGCGTTGTCGGACGCCTAAGACAAGTAATGAACACTATCTGTTAGAAATCGAACGTCTTAAATTAGCCCAAATTGAGAAGCAAATTGAGCTAGAAAATTTAAAATCACAATCATTATCGGATGATAACGCACAGACTAGTGTCGAAAATTTACTGAAAACTGTTCCTGAGCGGCCAGAGGCATTGCATTTGTTTTTCATTTCATTGGAAAAAGCTTTTGCCACCAAAGAAGTTCCCAAAGACTTACAAACTGATATACTAATTAATTTGCTAGGGGTTAAAGCAAATAATGTTTTAACGTATGCAACTGAATAAGAATTGTCGAATTACAAAAAACTAAAAGAGTTGTTTTTAGCTGAATTTCAGCCAATTTGCATCGCGATTGACGGCAACATTTGAATACTACTGTCAGGTTAGGGAAACACGAAAGGATTTTAAAAAGTTATTTGATTTAATTGTTGCAGATAAATTGTATGAAACTTTGGATTTCAAAACGAAAGACTACATAGGTGTTCGCGAGAGCAGAACATGGTTTAATCCAACACAGTTAGGGCGAGAATGTGATTTATGTTTTTCATCCCGAGGAGGAAAATCATGTCTGAAATACATAACCCTAAAGTTCAGTCTAATGAATCGAAAGCACCAAGTGTTCAAAACCAAAGTATTAAAAATGACTCATTCCGTCGTAGCAAATTTAAAAATAAACAGGATGTCATTTCGTCGACGCCAGAGAGATCATGTTACGTCTGCGGGGGAAGGGGTGAAAATTTTCTTTCGCTAGGGATTGCGTAAAACGTAAACAAAGCGAATCGCATAAGGAAACAAAGAAAAAAGCAAAACAAGTGTTAATAACGTCAGTTTTATTCACGAGTTGCAAT